TTATAACCTAATGCCAAAGTTTTTCTAAAAAGCCTAATTAATAGTTATTTAAAAGCACTAGAGCTTGAAAAAACTGAACCTGTCAACTATAGGTATTATCATCAAAATAGAACTAGTATTAAGAAAGATGAAAATAAGAAAGCTGAAATCAAAAAAAATAAATATAAAGTATTCAAATATTGTATAAGCTAACAATATGAATTATATTAAAGGAATCTTTAATATTAAAAATTATTATAAAAATGGAATTGCAGTTGAAAAGAATAGACATAAAAAGATTGGAGTTTAAATAAGCAAATATAAGACATTTAAATATCAAATAAAAATTATAAAATATTTTGTTGGCTATTGTTATAAAAAAGAAATTAGTATTAATAAAAATGAACAATTAATATTAGAATGTTGCTTAAAATTAACTGAAGATGATTAATAATTCATGTTGGAAAACTTGAATTAAGCCTGTGAAAACTGGAATAAAAAGGTTAGTAAGTTCAAAAGATTAATTAAAATAATACAAAAATAATAAAAGACTTTTATTTAGTTAAGCCTAGTGATTGTTACAAGAATGAAGCATGTGAAAAAGATGTAAAATATGCAGTATATAGTAATATAACTGAATAATTCAAACCTGTTAAAAAATTTTAGTTATAGAACAGTTTATAGATAAAAATAAAGAATAAACAAAGAGTTTTAAACATATATGTTATGAACATCTTGAATAAAAAACTTTGTTTTAGTAAAAATAAATAATAAAAAATGAGATAAAAGCTAATCTGCCAAAAAGAATAAAGTAAAAAGAACCACTTTGTACTTACTAAAGTGGAATGAAACCTTAATATATAACCCTGAAGAAGAACATCTTAACTGACCTTTTGTTTTTGTTTTTAGTTATATATAACATTGTATGCATAAAATGGAGCATATGATAGAAATTGAACTCTTCATCTTGGACTTGGATATAGATATAGATGTTTGTCTTAAGTATAGTATTAAAAAATTAAAAAAAAATTTTGGTTTTATAAAAAATAGATATTTGTATAATTTTATTTTTTTTATTTTTTATTTTTTTTTACTATACAAATACATTTAGAACTTTAACACAAGTCAGAACAGTATATACTTACAGTTGCACTTGTGGTCTTTCTGGCCAACAACATATTAAAGACTTTTACAATTCTTATACTTGCCTATCACAAGAAAAAGCTAATAAAAAACAAACTAAATGAATATCTGAATGGATAAACTACAGTACTTCAACTAATTATATTTTATATTATCAAATCTAGGTGAGTTTTAATCACTCTAGTAGGTTTAGGTTGCAGATAAATTAAATTAGATAATAATTTCATCTATAGTCTAAGTCTCATTCTTATAAAAAATTTGTAAATTGACTTCAGCCTGTATCAACTTATGTAGTTGCCCATAACAATTTATTAATAAAGATAAAGGCAAAATCTTATCTTAATACTAAAAAAAAATAATAATAATAATTTTATTTTTTATTAATATCAATCTAGTACCTTATTCTTTTAACAACTCATGATTATCATAAAAGAAGATTATACATAGAATATATAACCTAAACAAAAAATAAATGTAATACCAAATATTATAATTAATTATATGAAAAATATACAAAATGCAATAAGTTACATTTGTAATTAAGAATGGTATATCAGATCCAAAGAGGTAAATAGTAAAATAAAGAAAAAAAATAACAACAAATTAAATATTTTTATAAATATTAAATAAATTAGTATAAATAATATTAAGTAGTCTTAAAGTAATAATAAAGACAAAATTGCATTTGTAAATGATAAATTTAGTATTATAAATAAAAACTGAAATGATTCTTAAGAGCAACAATGCTCTGTTAGCTTTATTAAATAATAAATCCTAAATACCTTATATTATCTCTAATAAACACTAACATTATTACTGTTATCAACCCTGTAACCCCTATATAAACTGTTGTTTATTCAAATTCTTTATTATATGACTTACCTAACTTGTATTCATTGACACAAAGTAATTGAAACCTTAATCATCCACCAACCAAATCTAACATTTTCTTTCAAAAAGGTTACTTATTGTAAATTTTATGATAATTTAAATTGTGAAGCAACCAAGTCATAATCTTCCAAACACAACAATATCAATCATCACATGTCTTATTTTAGCATCCAGGAATACTGAAATTGAAAAATATAATTTTTAAATTTTATTTTTTTTTATTATTAGCAAAAGCTAAAACTTTGTTAGTTTTTTTTTATTTAATGTTTCCAATTCTATTTTCTTGGACAACTGTGTTATATGTTGTGTTATTCTGCCACATCAAGAGGAAAAAAAAGATGGTCTGCCATGCCTAGAAATGGCCCACGCGCGGGATGCGCAGTTTTTTTTTGGATCCCGCACTTGTTATAATAAATTTAATCATTATTAAGTCATTCTTTAAACAACATTATTATAACATAGGTGTTAATAAACCTATTTTGCATTATTTTGAAATGCTAAATGTATTTAAAATATATTATTTTAACAAGAAATTATATTTCTACTGATTATATTTTTATAATTCATGAAAAATTAAAAAACTTTACTATATTCCGCGAATCCTGCGCGGCTGCACGGGATTTTTAAAAAAACTGCGATTTGCCATCACTAGCCATGCCCTATATCTTAATGCTAGCAAGCTTATTATAATCTTGGCCAGCTTTAGTACTATATATTTGTAAGTTACATAGGGTGTATGTAACTTACATTGTAACTTACAATTGAAGTTACATTGTCAGGTAAGTTATCCATTACTAGGCATAGGTTAAAATTTTGGCCAGAATTAAGCTTAATTTAGCCTAAATTAAGATTAATTTTGGCCAAAATTTTAACCTACACCCAGGCGTTATTTCGAGATATTACAATACCATTTTTATCAGTTAAATAGTGTAATTACCAGAAATAATCGTATTAATAGTCGCATGTTATATACTGCTCATTAATGAGGCAATCGTTCTGGGTAAAACTATTTCTTAATATAGAATCATATAAAGTCATGGATTCCTAAACTGTTCCTAAAAAATATTGCGGTTGCATGATAATCATCTGCAGCAAATTAGCCTCCAATAGTGAATTATGATTTGATGTAATGTAGCATGATCAAGAAATTTAAAACGTTCGCTATCAATTTATTGAAAATACATATAAGAAACACCCTTTTATGCATTAATAAAAAGTTCACCTAGAATGATTTTACTATACAATGAACTTTAAATAATTTTATCAAATATCATATTTTCAGGCGATACTAGGGAAGATATATGAACAAACTTATTTTAGTTGTAATTTTGTACAAATTTGAATATCAATTTGTACTCACTTTGTAAGGAATTGAATGTTTACTTTGTACGAAATTGAATGTCATTTTGCACGAAATTGAATGTCAAAAGGTGTATCCAAAATGGCACGGTTAATTAATAAAAAGCACCTGTTATGTTGTGCGAGTTCCACTAGCGGATTAAATAAAAGCTTTATCAATAATCACTAAGTATATTACTTGTATTATGTTTGTAATTAGATGATAACTTATTTGATATATTTCTTCGTCTACCTTTCAATTAATCAAAATTGACTTTATTTTTTACTGGTAATAAATTATAAAGATTTACAAAATCCAATTACATACAGACAATAAAATTTTTAATAATGTACATTTACATTTAATATACGCAATACGCATCATTTACAATAATGTCATTCATTACCAACTCAATATATATTAATTATATGATGTGGGCATTATGGTTCATTATAATATTGTTTGTTTCAACAACCTTAAATAGTAACAATAAAATGATGGTTGAAACAAATCTCTCAATAAATTTACACTGATGAATGAACTTGAAATCAAGCCTACAAGTCTTTTAGAATAAAAAAAAAGTTATTATTATTAGCTGCCCGAAACGAGAGTATCAGAGCAGCATTTTGTCTCGAATCGATCACGGAGAGTGAACCCTTAATCGAACGATTATTAGTAAGATCATGTGAGGTAATAGTTATGGAATTACGTAGTGATTGTCTATGGTATTTGTTAGACCTATCGATAAGGTTACGTAACCATGTAATAATTACGATCGGAAATTGATTAAGAGTTCATCGGTAGAGTTTAAGATAGTAGCGACGTAATTACGGCATTAGAGTAATAACGGCGTAATTGATTTGAGTTTATCGTCAGAGTTTATTATAGTATTGACGTAATTACGTCGTTAGAGTTTAGTATAGTAACAACGTAATTACGTAGTATTTTGATTAGTATTTGATTTGTAATCAATGGATCATATTTAAGGGGACGGGTTTTCTCTTAAATACGATAACTTCTGTTTTTTCTGCTAACCCGACTTTGTCTGGTTTTTTCGTCCCGCCCTTACCCTCCCTTACATATGCTAACCAAATGTCGTTGTGAGAAATTCTGTGGATCTTAACAGGGCTTGACTTGTCGGACGACAGGAAAAGGTTTAGCATTAGTTAGGCAGCCTGTCGAGACGACAGTCACAAGGGAGCATTGTAAGCTTTATATGTATGTTGATTAGTAGATTTGGCCTGTTGGGACGACAGTCAAATCTTTAGTTCGATTTTTTTGTGTGTGGCCTGTCGGGACGACAGTCACAAAGAAAAAGTAATCTTTACTTAACTGCGGGTATTACGCTCGGGTAGGTATGATTAGTAGAGCGTAATATTCATCTGCACATTTATCGATGCTTTTAAATTCTGCGTTATATTTGAATGTTGACACAAAGCAGGAGAGACAGAATACCCAGAATTATTTTTCATAGTTTCGTTTAGAACACCTCCTCGATGAGGGACAAATAACAGGTTATTTGAATAAAAACAAAAAAGTGAAAATATACATAATATTTGGTCAATGGTATGGTCGAACGGATATAAAACGGCTCAAATATAATTATGATGGAACCTTAATGAATTTTGATATACCATGTATTTGGAACATGACAGATTTAAATAATTTAACACCTGAAAAGCTCAGAATGGTTGATGGTTTATTTTGTGTAGATGAACCAAGACTATCAGATATGAAGTCATGGGAAGGACAAAAATTTATACAATTTACAAATGAATCACCTAATAATTGTCCATGGTGCAATAGACATATAGAAAGATTTGATGTTCGAGCAACACATAATTAAAATTCAGACAAACCTACTAGTTACATTCGAGAAGATCCTATAGAATGGCTAGCAAGGCAACCATTTAATATAGAAAACCTCACTAAAAACTCAACAATTGTTTCTTTCATTGCTTCTCATTGGACATATTTTCGTAAAGAATTGATTTCAAATCTTCAAGTCTACATCCCTATCGCGTCTTTTGGTAAAGTCTACAAGAATACCAATTGGAATATTCATCCAGAATGCTCAATTTTAGAGGAAAGCACATCTCAACATGAATATTTTAAAGCAAAGAATTGTATTATCGTAAAATATCCTTTTTATTTAGCTATTGAGAATTTACAAGAACAAGATTATTCTACAGAAAAACTTTGGGATGCATTTAGATTAGGAATAATACCTACTATATGAGGAGCACCTAATAGTCGTTCTTACATACCACATCCTAAATCGGCAATTTTTATTGAAGATTATCCAAACATTGAAGACCTTGCAAATCATTTAAAATACTTGGTTAAAAACAAGACAGCTTATTTGGAATATCATCAGTGGCGAACTACCACGAAGATATGGTCAGAAGAATTTAAGAAGAAGGCATATATGAGCTTGAATAATATGAAATGTAATATTTGTAGAGAAGTTGCTAGACTGAGAATCATAGAAGAAAGTGTTTAACTATTTTATGCTATACTTCTAAAATCAAGGAAATTTTTCAAAGCATTAGAACTTTATAAAGAAATTTCTAAAAGCAACCACGCTAACTTCTTTGAATTTTGAATTGAATAATCTTGGATCTGAGAAAGAAAAAGTAATAGCAGGTGAACATCACGCTGACTTCATTGAATTTTATTGGATAAGCTAGGATCAGCTGGGATCAGCCAGATCAGCTGGGATCAGTTGGGATAAGTTGATTAACTGGGATCGGATGTACTTTGCATGAGCACTACGCAGATTTCTTTGGATTTTCAATTAAATAAACTTGGACCATAAGAAGAAAAATATTGAGATAAACTTTTCAAAAACACTACGCTAACCTTTTTTAAACATTAGGCATAATAATTTTAGATTAGATGCTGGAAAATAAGGATGTTATCCAGTCCGATCTAGACTAACAAACTACTAGTCTCATCTTAGTCCAATCTCAAAACCAGTCTAAAACCAGTTCCAAGATTATAGTCTATAAACTAATTTCAAGAGCACGATCCAGACTGTCGTCTCAAAAGAAGTTCTAGGTTATAAACTCAAAAACTAATCTTAATATTGTTATATTAGAACCATATAAATATATTTATTTAATAAATGGCAAACATTAGTTGGTTAACAATTTTACAAATTGGCCGGTAAACATGTATGTACATATCAATATTTCGTGAATAAAATTTCACGTTTGGCAACTTTATATATATATGTAGTACCCGGATGGGAATCCGCCCGACTCTGAATCAGGCAGCCGGATTTAGAATTCTTATACGGGGTATCCGGTTCACTATACTATATAGATATCCTAATCCTAATCCTACTGATTATTAAGAATTCAAAATCCAGGTACCCCAATTCTGAATCGGATAGATTCATATCTGGGGTACGGCATATATATATATATTTCTTAAGATGAATCTAGAATACATACGTAGAGCAATGCAATTATATATCATATATTACTATACTGTTTATCGATACCTTTAAAAAAAAAACTCAGGTTCTAATCAAGAATCCATAAATAGCCTAATTAAAATATTCTCTGTGAAATTTTTATTAAACACTAAGTTAGCACTATAATGCGGTTCTATTAGCTTCAAGTTTAAATATAACCTTTATTTAAAAGTTTAATTTGTCAAAATAGGACTGAGTTACGGATGTTATAAATTTATAAATTTCAGTAAATAAGCTTTGACAGTCAACCTTTCCAAATCTGAACCTGGATAATCTGACCTTTAATAAACTCTGTAAAAACCGAACACAAAGTTTCAGAACATTTTTAAATTTTATTAAAAAAGTTCGGATTAGCAACATAATAACCCTTTGAAAACTGAACTTTTTGATATTTTTACATATAAGAACGGACCATTCAGAATAAAGAGAGCTAACTATATATAATTTTTCATCATGTTATATATAAATTACTGGCTTTACAAAATCTCGGTCAATAATATTGTGGTATTTGATTTGAACATATGATCTGGATTATATTCCTCAATCACAAATTATATTAAAATCAATTTACTAAAGCTTATGTCAAGTTACAGTAATTTAACAAACATATATTTGAGTAGATAGGTTTGCGATTTTGATTTCAAAATTAGATAGTTTTATAACTTCATGGTAGATGAATTTGTAATTATAAAGGCGAGTAGATTTGTAATTTCTAAAGTGAGTTGTTCATAACTTCAACAGTGATTGAAATTTTCATAGTGGACGAATTTATGATTTCAAACAATGGCAGGTTCATAATTTCAACATAAATAAGGTATGATTTAGTGTTGAAAAGTAATAAATTTGATTTTAACAATGTGTAAGTTAGTGATTTCAATAATGAGTGGATTTGTAATTTTGATAGTGAGTAGATTCACAATTGATTGGTGGGTAGATTGTTGACTTAGACAATAGTTAATTTGTAACTATAGCAATTTATAGGTTTATATTTTTAATTGTGAATGCATTTATAATTTTAACAATAGGTTCATTTATAATTTCAATATCGGATGAGTTTATGATCTTAATAGTGGCTCTGAGTTAACTTCCTGTAATCAATTTTACTAAAATACTATTTTACTAGAGATGGGCAAATCGCGGTTTTTCAAAAAATCCCCGCGGAATTCATTAAATCTAGGTGCCGCGTGGTTGAACCTCAATTTTGATTTTCCAACGGCTGTGATCGACAAAATTTTGGCCGCATTATACATAATTTTGGCCGGAG